AATATGAGTGGGGGACCCTCCCTGGTGGCACGATGGGTTAAAGCGCAGCACTGTGAAGCTATCCACAGCCATTGCAGCACCAGTTCAATCCACAGCCAGGGAGCTGACCCACATGGTGCAGCAGACTTCTTCTGTCTCACCTGCTGCTCCCCTCAGCAGTGTGTTTCAGTCAGTCTGCCTGTTCTGCTCCCCATTCTGTCTCTTATGAATCCTTTAACCATCCCCATACCTCTGGCCTGTATCCCAGTTCTTATATGCATAAATAAATAAATCTTTAAAAAAAAATGAATGGGTGAGTAAACCGTACATTCAGACAATGGAATATTAATCAGTGCTCAGAAGAAATGAGTTAGCAAACCACACCATGACACAGGAGAAACTTTAAATGCATCTCTGAACTTCCACTCCATTTCACCAACATAAATTACTTATTTTTTTTTAAAGTACATCAAAAAACAACCACACTCAAGAGAAATGCACTGGACTATGGTAATGGCACATAGGTGATTTGGTGACTGGAAGCCCAGGGGATTACAACTGAGATGGAAAAATGCACAAAATGATATAAAAACAAACTATTATAAAAAGTTTAAAAAAAAAACTCAGATCTTTGTGTTCCATCACATTAACTAACTCATTAAAGTCTAATATAGGAGGTTCACAGCTACATATGGACTTATTGTTGGTCTAATAATTCCCTTAAGTAATGATGATCACAAATGATGTTTCAAGATGTCTCAATAACTGTAATATTACATGGAATTATCTGTTATTTCCATTGGTGGCAAGTCACAGATACTGATAACATGAATATGGTTTGTATCTACAGTAAGAACTGAAGAGAATGAAAAGTTTCAGTATGTAGAAAGTGAAAATAAAACTAAACTTTTTTCACTCACATTCATGTACATCTACTTTCACAGAGCTCAGCCATTCTTGAGACTGTAAATTTCATCTACAGGTTGACAAATGACTCCCACATTTTATTTGTTCATTTCCCTGAAATTTGCACTTATTAATGACAGTATCTGTTGTGAGCATATACTAGGCACTCTTCTAAGCATTTTACATTTATTAATTCACTTATTTCTCCAAACAACACCATGAGGTGAGTTCAATGTTATTCTCATTTACAGAAAAGGAAACCTGTAGCATAAAGATGTTAAATATTCAAAGTTTCTCAGCTACTACGTTTCAGAGAATGGAACCCAGGAATTTGCCTCCAAAGCCTGTGCTCTTAGCTTCTAAGCAATCCTTCTACTAATCAGCACCAAATTTAAGTTGGTGTCTGAATCTCCTATCCTCAAAATTGTACTTCCTTAAGTCTTTCCATAACACAAATGATCCACCATCCACTTAGGAGTTAGTACTCTAAATTTAGGACATGCTAGGCTTCCCTTATTCTGAAAACCCTTCCAAAATATAATTCTAAAAGTAAATAACAGTGCTGTCTCCAACCCATATCCAGGAATCTGCCCATTCATTAACAATTCCAGCACTATCTTTCCAGTTGATCATCTCTGGTCCAGACCAACAACAGCATCCCAGCTAGTCTTATTTCCATTCTTGTCACCAGTTTAATCCCTTGTCATGAAGCAACTACAGTGCATTTTATGAAATGTGAATCTAGCAAATAACCTATCTCAAGTCCTTACTTGAGTCCTAAAACCCTACATGATATAGCCTCACCTCTTTTCAATGTCATCTCAGTCTCTCTTCCCATTGCTGACTAGTTCCAGTCACACTGCCTTTTTGCTCATTTAACTGATTTACTATTTATTGTGAAAGGATGGAGGAGGGCAATGGGGATAAATTTCAAACCATCACTAAAATGTGACCAGAAGTACCCATTATTGATGTAGTATTGCATTGTGCCACCTGATATTTTTCCCAGCTTTAATGATACACAATTGATATAGAACATTATGTCCTTTAAGGTGTACAAAATGATGGTTTGATATATGCCATAAAGTATCACCCCATAATTTCACATATCCATCATCTTATATGATTGCATTTTTTTCTCTAAAATTAGGAATAGACTAAGATGTCCACTACTATTCAACATAGTATTAGGAATCTTAGCCAGAGACATTGGGGGAAAAAAAAATAAATAAAAGGATCTTAATCAGAAAGGAAGAAATAAAATTTCCTACTTTCAGATGACATAATTTCACCTATAAATTATTAATACTAATCAATAAATTAAGTCAACTTGTAGCATACAAAATTAACATAAAAATGAGTTGAATTTCTATATACTAATGTCAAAGTATCTTAAAGGGCCAATTAAAAAGCAACCCCAGGCCCTCCCTGGTGGCACAGTGGGTTAAAGCACAGCACTGAGAAGCTAAAGCCACTTCAGCATGAGCCTGCCCGGGAGGTGACCACATGGCACGGCAGACCTCTCCTGACTGCCCGCTGCTCCCCTCAGCAGTGTACTTCGTGGGTCTGCCTGTCTGCTCCCCACTCTGTGTCTGGTGAATCCTCTCACCACCCCTGCACATCCGGCCTCTACCTCAGTTCTATATGCACAAGTAAGTAAATCTTTAAAAAAAAAAAAAGAAAGAAAGAAAGCAATCCCATTTATGTTAATAATTTACTTACATTAATAATTCAAGCTCATAAGTCTCATGGCATGATCTTTTCCAAAAAGTCACATATTTAAGCACTACTTAAGGGAGAATGAATGAAGTTGCTCATTCATTCAACAAAGCTGAGTAGAAATCTATGGTTATGGATTTTTTTTCCTGTAGGAAAGTGCTTATTTCAATGGTCCCTCATAGAAGTCACAAGTCTATATGGAACAACACTTAACACTTAGGATACAACCAACGTCTTTCATAGTGCTTTTTTTTTTAAGTAACATTTTCTCCTTTTTTGATACCAAAACACTTAATTTTTTTTTAAAGATTTTATTTATTCATACAGAACTGGGTACAGACCAGAGATGCGGAGGGTGAGAGGGTTCACCAGAGACAGAGTAGGGAGCAGAACAGGGAGATCAACGGAAGTACACTGCTGAGGGGAGCAGCGGGCGGGTCAGGAGAGGTCTGCCTGGCCATGTGGTCACCTCCGGGGCAGGCTGGGATCGAACTCAAGCGGAAGTGGTTTTAGCTTCTTAGTGCTGTGCTTCAACCCGCTGCGCCACCAGGGAGGGCCCAAAACACTTAATATTTTAAGCATCATTTTGCATACTCCATACTCCTCATACTCCATTTTAAATTATAAATTCAAAAGCATCTGAAAAATTGGTTTTATATTAAATTGCATTTAAATTACTTTTAAGTGAAATTATCTAAAACTTAATTCAATTTTAATCTGAAATCATCATAAAGAAGTCAAAATTAGCCAAGCAATTCTATGTAAAGATAGCACATTAGCTTTTATCTTGGCTATTGATATTGAAATGTAAACTACATATTTCATAGCTAATATCAAAATGAATATTTTTGTTAATATTACTACCTTGTTCATGGTAAGGCTGCTAGGTGTGCTTATGACAATCCTTAAATTTAACAGATTTGGCGAATAATTAAATGGTAAATTGGCATTCAACTATGTGATTTTCTGCTTCCAGATAATGACCAAGAAGAGTGACTAGAACCTCTTGGAATGACAACCTTTAGGGAAGCGATGGAAGAGAAAAATATAAGACAGAAGTGATTGGAGAGATAAGAGACCGGAGACTATTAGGAGGAATGGAATTTCAAGAAAGATGTTAACAGCATCAAAGCTACAGAGTTCCAAGAGAAGGAAGGTCTGAACTCTATTTCCAGAAGACTGGAGACACTTGATGTCAATTTGCACCAGTTAATAGAAAATCTAAAATTTAAACTAACTAAGTCTAAAATTTATTTTCTCAATTCCAATGAGATAGATACAAATTCCTAATTTTACTAATTAAACTTTAAAGACCTC